CCTTGCTGTTTCCACTCTGACTTTCCCTCCTACCTCTTCCCCACCAGTAACTCCATTCTAAGGACCATCCTGGGCTCTAATAAGAGTTTTCACCTTATATTGATGGGAACCAAGTCATCACTCAACAGCTGGTACAGTGGACAGAGCACTGGGCCTGGAGTCAGGAAGAGTCCTGAGCTCATATCTAGCCTCAGACACTTACTAGCTGTGTGACCTTGGGCAAGTCACTTAACTTCTATTTGCCTCAGTTTCTTCACCTGCAAAATGGGGTTAATAACAGCACCTACCTCCTAGGGTTGTTGTGAGGATCAAGTGAGATAATATTTGTAAAGCACTGAGGGTAGTGCCTTGTACATAGTAGGCGCTATAAACATGCTTACTCCCTTCTCTCTCCACTCCCTCTAGCTGCATTATGTGGTATCTTCTCCCATTAAAATGTAAGCTCCTTGGGGGTAGAAGACTATCTTGTTTGCTTGTCTTTGGCTCCCTAGTACCTAACACGGTGTCTGGCTCATTGTAAATTCTTCATGAATACTCGCTCCATCTTAGTACCTATATATTTATGTATATCTCTATTTATCTACTTACACACATACATATATACATATATGCATCATATATGTATGCATGCATGCTTATGTGTATCGATGAATCCATCTCTTACATATCTACCTATGTATGTATATGTGTATACATATATGCATGTGTAACTATCTAGGTATATATCTATGTATATGTATATGTGTATGCATGTATGTAAGTCTGCATGCATGCATGCGTCTATCTACCCATGGATGAGCAAACAACAGACTGCTCCTTATGGTCAGGTTGGAGACTGATTGGCTCAAGTGATGAGCAAACACCTCTTGGGACCAAGCGAGTCTTGAAATACTTTGCTAAATGGTTAAATTTTCTTAAGAACATCCCATTTCTGGACCTGTAGATGTTAGATGTTAGGGGAGAACAATTCCTAACAATTAGAACTTTCCAAGGGGAATAGATTTTGTTTGTTCTCATCAATGGATGTCTTGCAGGAAAGGCTGTCTGATCACTTGTTGGAGATATTGCAGAGGGGATTTTTTTCAGATGTGGGTTCACTGGGTACCTTATTACATCCCTTCTAAATCTGAGAGTCTGTCATTTTTATGATTCTGTCTTATTTCATAAATTTGATACTGAAGACTCTTGTCAAAGTTGGAGGGTAGTATATTCTATGGGAATTTGAAAGGGACACCATGGTGAAACCAGGGCATACAGCTGAGACTTAACTTCAGAAAACTATGGGGCACACTAATACTACTTTATTGAGTGTTTCATCTGGCCACCTTAGGAAGTCAGCATGGCATAATAGCACGAGAGCTGACCTCAAAGCCAGGATGAGCTGAGTTCAAATGTTGCAGAGTAAGTGCTGACCTGCATTGCTAAAGGGAGTTTTCTCACCTGGGAGTTCCCTAAACCAGGGAAATTACAGCTCCAGTACCCATCTACTCTTCATTAGTGATTAATGATGGACCCAGGCAATAGTAACCCCAGCAAAATCCTTGACAATCTTTCATAAAACCTGGTTAAAATAGCAGACACCAAAATACTTCTCAAATATAATTGCTGAACAATTGTTGGTGATTTTCAAAAGAATGTGGAGAATGAGACAGACACCTCAGGAATGGAGACAAGCAAATATCCTGATTGTCTGGCAAAGGAGGAAGAGAGTAGAGCCACCAAATACTGCCCAGTGAGCTTAGGAAGGGTAACCAGGACATTGTGGGAGCCTGAGCTCATGTCACATGATGACTAGTGAAAGGAATTGGGGATATTTGATCAGGAGAAGAATAAACTTGTGGTAAAAACTAATGCTGCCTCTCTTTAACATCTGAGGGGCCACTGTGCAACAGAAGGATTGGAGTTTTTGTGTTCATTTGTCCCCAAAGGGTATAACTTGGAGCAATGAGCAATTGTTACAGAGAAGATCTAGGATAAAAGGGATGTTATCAGAGAAGTCCAAGAAGACTTGTATGAACTGCTGCAGGGGAAAATGAACAGAACCAGAATAATTTATTCTATCACAACATTGTAATAATGAACAGTTTTGAAAGACTTCAGAACTCTGTTCAATGTATTTGCATCTATGATTCCAAAGGACCAGTGAGGAAGCCTGTTCCTCACCTCCTAATCCAGAGTATGTACAAACACATACATGTATACATACACACACATACATATATATATATACATACACACATGCATACACATATACACATGTGTGTGTGTGTGGCAAATTTGGGAATTTGTTTTCCTTGATTTTGAATATTTGTTCCAAGGATTTCTTTTTCTTTACAATTAGGAAGTGAGGATGTTGGAGGCAGAGAAAATGAATGCTTGTTAATTGAAAAAAAGAAAAAGAAAAGAAAAGTTAAAAAGAAAAGAAAAACATCATAGCAATTAAACTATTCGCAAGTGGAATTAAGGAAGTAGTTGGGTGCCCTTTACTAAAGGTCTTTAGAAGCAGATTGGGTAAAACTCTGTGATATTATACGGTGGAACCTTGGGTAGGCCTCAGTTGGACTATGAGAGGTCCCTTTCAGCTGTGACCTTTAGTAATCCAGCGACTTCAAAACAGCCTCCAAGTATTTCACTTATTGCGTATTAGTCAAGGGACCTGGAAACTGGCACGTGGAGCATGTCTGCTGCTCCATTGTCTGCCCAGAGACCATGTGGCTTGCTGAGTTTATCATTGGACAAGAGAGCAGGAAAAACAGGGCTCTGTGATCTGCCTTATTGAGCCTGATGAGAAGAAAGCACCTTTGAAGACTGTTAGGAGGAATTAGGAATAAGAATTCATGTGAAGATCTTTTTGCTAACATAGCAAGGATGAGGAGGATGGTGATTCTGGAATTTCTCTGGCATTTTCATGATCTGAAAGCACTTTTCATATATTATCTCACTAGACCCTCACAACAACCCTTAGAGGGTTAGTGCTATTGTTACTACTATTTTATAAATGAGGAAATTGAGCTTGGGGGAAACTGAGGGAGGCAGGGGGGAGGAAAGAACTTATTAAATGTCTAGTATGTGCCAGACATCGTAAAAAGCACTTTTATGAATATTATCCCATTTGATTTTCACAATAATCCTTTGAAATAAGAGCTATTATATTCCCACTTTTTAGTTGAGGAAACTGAGGAACACAATGATTAAGTAATTTGCTCAGGGTCACACAGTTACAAAATGTCCAAGCCAGGAGTTTAATGCAGGTCTTTCTGACTCCCAGCTGAACACTCTATCAATTGTTACCCTTCCAAATAACTCCAAACATACCTAGAATGTCTTGGCAGAAAATGAAATGTAAGCTTCTTGATTAAGCTTTTAACGTCCTATACACCCTGTTCCCAAACTATTTGTCCATTCTCAACACACATTACTGCCCTTCTCAGTTTACAGCCAGACCTAAGTGGACTTCTCTCTGTCCCTCACCTCCAACTCTGTAGCTCCCATCTCCATATCTTTATGCTGGTTAGCCCCTAGACTTAGAATGCACTCATTCCTCATCTCTGCATCACAGAAACATTCTTCTCCATCAAAACACAGTCAGAGAACAATCTTTGACATTGAGCTTCCCTGATTGCCCCAGCTGCCCCTTCCCAATGACATTATACTTATTATCACTCCAAATATATATATATATATATATATATATACACACACACACACACACACACACACACACACATACATACATACATACTATGTGTGTGTGGACTTGTCTCCTCAATCAGAATATAAGCTCCTTATGAAGAAGGATGATTTCATTCTTTGTAGTTTTACCCACAGTGCCTAGCACACAGTTGGATCAAATAATAAAAGTGATGATGATGATGATAATAATAACAATAATAATGATTAATAATAATAATAACAACTAGCATGTATATAGTATTTAAAGCTAAATTTAAAACTTTAAAGTTTACAAACTGGTATACAAACATTGTCTCATTTTATTGTCACAATAATTCTGGGAGGTAGGTGCTATTTTTATCCCCATTTTACAGATGAGGAAACTGAGGTTAAGTGACTTACCCAGAGTCACACAGCAAGTAAGGATGGAAGGCAGGATTCACACTCAGGTCTTCCTTTATATCCATTGCTAAAATATGTAAAGTATTTTGTAGACTTTAAAATATCATACCAATACCAGCTGTTATTATTATCACTAGCACTAGCTTGATTTCTTGCTCAAATAATAGTTTTCCATTGCTCCTAGTCGCATCCCCTTGTTAATTTATCTGGGCAAGACTATCCATACATGGCTTATTTCTGACTCAAGCAGTTAATCAAAGACATGGGCCCCTCTGTCGAGGATGCCACACTGCCTCAGTGGGGATGGTCTTCCTAGGGCTAACACTTTGCTCTCTCCCAAATCAAATGACTAAGGGCTCCTTGAGGCTGCCTGCCTCTGCTCCTTCTCCTGTTTCTACGGCTCCCCACAATCTGCTCACACGTGGCATTTCTCTACCCAGACTGACCATTTTTCAAACACATTCCAAGTCCCATAAAATCAAGCCTGTTGCAAATAAGGAACACTTTGTACATTCCCCTAGGAGCGAGTTGAAGGGCTCTGCTCAATCATTCCAGGAATCCGGAACACATTTCTGAGATGGAAAAAAAGAAGACTTGAAAAACACACTGTTTCACCCTCCTATTGTTTGTTTGTGGCTTGTTTTTCTGTTTCCTTTTATTTTCTTTTTAAATCACCTTATGGTTCCAAGACTAAGGGAGAGATAAGATGGGAAGTGAGAGGATTATTCAAGAACCTTGAAAGAAAAAAAAGTCACTATTGCCTGGTCAACAACTGACCACAATGCTTTCCAGTTCAGCTGTACAATTTCAGCCAAGGTATGCCTATGGGAAGAAAGCAACGTAGCCAAGGGGTCAATGCATGGTCTTGGCACTGATGTATACCATGGCTGGGAGGACAGGAAAGGCTTCCTACACAGCTGACTGACCTGAGACTTTGGGATCATGTGTGCATCATGGCTGGAGCCGAGGTAGGTGGCAGCAATATCTGTGATGAAGCCAACATCACAAGTGGTTGGTATGTTCATGCTCTGGGGATGTTTCTTATATCTATAAACCTGTAGGAGAAAGCTACAATGGTTAGGTGCAGGATGTGAGACGAGAGAGGGTATGGGGAAAGATCTAGAGGAAAGGAGGGAAAGAAAGGCTTTTTCTTAACTTTCTGTTGCTGAGTGATTGCAAATCTCAATTTCAGGATGCACAGCTCCAAATAAAGAATTATAATGTATGATACGCCCCCACTGAAACCCCGTGCCAGTCTGCAAAATGACCCCCAATGTTGGACAGCAAATGGATTTCTCTGAAGAGCTGGAAGGCCAAGGCTCAGCCAGGCAAAAAAGGATACTCGGATTCAGGGCCTAAAGATACCCTGAAAAAAAGAAAAGTATGGAGCACCCTCTGAGGATTCTTGATCTTTAGCTTCCCTGCTACCCAACATAGACATGCTTTTCTCGACTAAAGTCACCTTGGTTGGGACCAGAGAGCCATCCCCAGGACTCACCTCAGTGTGGACAGAGTCTGTGTGGCAACAGAGAGTTAAATCATGTACAGGCCACTTCAAAATTTTGACCTTCATAAGTGGCAAGCCTTTCATGAGGTTAAGGCCACCAGGGAGACACAAAGTTAGATCTCAGAATAAAGAGAGAAACCTGGGGTTGGGGTTGGGCTCATGAACCATTGCATGCAAAAGGCCTCAAGTTATTTATGAAAGATAAATAACTTCAGAATATTTCAAGGGTTAATTTTGGGACACTTTGGTCTCTAATTGCCGGGTAAACCCATTGCAAAGCATCTGGCAGAAAGCAAAGGACTTTGTGAGCAAGTGTTGGTCTATCTGAACACACAGACACAGACTCCCAGTAGAAGTTGGAGGTAAAGAGCAGTAAGACCCAAAGGTGTTAGCAAAAGACATTGATCATCTAGATTCTGCGGAGCAAGGGAGGTGATTTCCTAAAGTTCATGGGGGCAAGGTGGATGTCAATGCACTCTCCGTGGTGCTGAAGCTTCTAAGGGCTAGACATCAAACCTCACCATGGTGAAGAATGATGGAGAGAAAGAGGTCCAAGAATAGAGATCAGAGGGGAGAGGAGGAAGGCTAAAGACTAGAATTTGCAAGGAGGAAAAGCAAACAAGAGAATTTGAGGGTAGCATAGAGAGGACAACAGAATAAAGGGGGCTGCTTCTGTGGGTGGAGGATCACACATAAAATAAAGGGTGATCTATGGATTTAGAGCTGGAAAGGACCTTAAAGACCTTCTAGTCTACCCCAGTCATTTTACAGATGAAGAAACTGAGGCCTAGAGTGACTAAGTTATTTGCCCAAGGTCACATAGATAGTAGGCAACAGAAGATTCACAAAATGTAATCAGAGTAGGTCATTACGAGAGGAATGGGAGGAAAAAAGGTGAGAATGACATAGTGAGAAAAAGAAGCAATAATGAAAGGCTGGAAACCCAGAGCATGGGCCACACACAAGCTGGCATGCATGGATAGGGGCATGGAGAAGCCACAGGGTGCTGGGAGAGTGACAGCTGAGTCGTCACCGTCAGCCTAGCTTGTCTTAGCTGCTGATGTCTGCATGATGAAAACTGAGCAAGGACAGACAGCTTAGACAAGGAGCCTCAAATAAGGGCCCAGACTTCGGCAAAGAAAGAGAGTGTGTGCATGCATGTGAGCCCACCTGCTGCTTCAACTGATGCACCAATCGGTCTTTTTCACGTTTCAGGGTCATGACTTCCTCTTGCGTCTTCTTTTTCTTGGAAGCAGACAGTTCAAGCAAGGCTATGTTGGCATCCTTTTCACTGATAGCAGCCAGCAGGGCTTCCTGTCTGAAAAAGAAATAAGCTGGTTATTGTTTTAGGCTCTAAGGTAGAGGGCACTGGAAATACTCGGGGACTCACAGTTGGCATCTAAGCCATGTGGCATAGTTTTGGTGGGATGAAATGATGAGAGGATTTGGGGACAAAATATCTCTTTGATTTCTGAATTATCAAATGTATGGAGAAAGAACAGATTGGGGATCCCCATTAGTTTAGGTCAGGGGGTTTTATCTTTTTTGTGTCATGGACCTCTTTGGCAGTGTGGTAATGTGTATGAACCCCTATTCAAAATGAAGTCTGAAAAGGCATAAATAAAATACGTAGTATTACAGAAGAAACAGGCTATATTGAAATATTTGTTGTTCAATCAATTTTTAAAGGGGTGAACTTTCTCATTATTAGGGTAGTTAGAAGGAGCATATATAGACAGAGGGCACAGGTGTGAGTTGAAAATGAAGAGATGATATCTTTTTTTTTTTTTTTTTTGCTTTTTGGTGAGGCCATTGAGATTAAGTGACTTGCCCAGAGTCACACAGCTAGTAAGCGTCAAGTGTCTGAGGCTGGATTTGAACTCAGGTCCTTGTGACTCCAAAGCCAGAGCTCTATCCACTGTGCCACCTAGCTGTGTCTGACTGTGTGACCCCACTTGGTGTTTTCTTGGCAAAGATCCTGAAGTGATTTGCCATTTCTTTCTTCAGCTCATTTTACAGATGAGGAAACTGAGGCAGACAGGGTTAAGTGACTTGCCCAGGGTCACACAGCTAGTAAGTATCTGAGGATAGATCTGAATTCAGGTCTTCCTGACTCCAGACTCAGTGTTCTATCCACTGCACAACCCCATATTGAAATATAGTTATCAATATATAAATAACAAATATAATATAATTAATACAAGGCAATCTTCATGCTCAAGAAGCAATTCATATTTCAAGCACTTTAATTATCTTCAAGATTTGCCTTGGATGGCATGCTCAGAGACGACCTCACTTCTGCCAGTAGAGGATCTGTCATGTTTTCCATCATTTACTTTTCCCCTTGACCCAGATCCTCAACCTGCCTCCTGCTATTTTTTTTTCCTTTAAACCTTTCAAGAAGAAAAAAAATCTTGCCACTCTAACTCCTGTCTTATCTCGGCTCATTGCTTTCTGAAAAAAGTATGGAAGTTGCCTCCTGTCTTCGTTCCAGTCCCTGACTACAGTAATACCCATAACCAGTTTTAATCTGGAATTTGCTCTGGCCCTAGTAAGGAAATGGCTATCCTCCATGGATTAATGAATTCCTCCTTTTTGCTGATGAAGGTTGCCGCCACCGGCCCCCTGAGCATATGCCTTCTCTTCAGCAAATCACTGGCATATTAACATTCTACACTTCCTTTGGAAAGAGCACCATCTTTGGTTCTTTTCTTTTAAGACTTCTAGTGATACTGTCTAAATAATTCCTTTCTCAGAGCCAAGGGAACTCAGACCCCCATCATCTCTTGCCTAGACTATAATAATAGTGACTCACTTGGTCTCCTTGCATTCAGGTCTCCTTTCTTCAATTCATCCTCCACACAGCTACCAAACTGGTATATCTAAAGCATGCCTGACAAGGTCACTTCTCCTCTCAAAAAGCTTCAGTGGCTTCCAAATGCCTCTAGGATGAAATGCATTGCCATTCAAAAACCTTTGCAATATGACTTTGATCTCCTTTTCCAGGGTCATTCTGTGTTCCAACCAGGCTGGCTCACTTGTTACACCACACACATGTCATTTCATCTCTAACTTGTGCCTTTGGAGGCTGTCTCCCATGTAACAAAGTTCTCCCTCATCACCCGTCTGCCTCTTGGAACTACTGGCTTCCCTTCAAGAATTAGCTCTCCAGTGCCACCTCTTATAGGAGGCTGAAATTATAATGAATTTCAGAGACATATATATGTGTGTATATATACATATACACATACATATATACATACAAATAAATAGACAATCTGTGTATATATACTATATAAAGTATACACTATGGTACATAGTATATATGTATGTATAGCATGTGTATGCATATATTTGTATGCATATATGTATATATATATATATACAACTATATTTATATACAAATCTATCTTTTTTTTTATAATTTTTTTTCATGGACTTATCCATAGCCCCAGGAGAATTCAAAGTCCTTGAAGGCAGGGACTTTTTTTTTTGCTTTTGTATCTCTAGCACTTGGTACATAGAGGTTATCTAAATGGTAAAGGGGGCTTGGAGTCAGGTAGACTTAAGTTTGAATAGTGTCTCAATCACTTATTAGCTGCGTGACCCTGGACAAGTCACATAGTCTCTCCTAGAGTCAGTTTCTTCATCTGTAAAATGGAATTAATAATAGCATTTACCTCAGTGAGTTGGTTGTGAGGATTAAATGAGAAAAATGTTTTTTAAAGTCCATTGTAAATCTTAAATTAACATACAAATGATTGCTATTATTATTGTTGTTGTTATTGTTATACTTACTAAGAGCACTTACTAAATATTTGTTGAATTAAAACAGAAACTAAAGCCAGTTTCCTTGTCTGGTTTTCCGGTATCCCCTATCATCATACCAGATTCCTTCACAATCATAAGATGTAAGTGGATCTGGTTACCTCCTACCCAGAATCCATTCTAGTATAATGGTAGACAAACTGGATTTGGAATCAGAGGTTTCATATCCTGATTCAACTGCCTCCCACATTGGGTCAGTCATTTCAACTTTCTGGGCCTCAGTTTCCCTAGAGTTCCATTCAGCTCAGATACCACAATTCCTATTCAAATAGCAGGACACTCATCTCCTCCTAAGCCTAGAGATCCCTGACAGTGAGAGATTATGTTTGACCTGCAGACAGTGATTGAAGCAACAATGAATATCAAGAAATGGGGTCCCAAAGCCAACCTGGTTGGCTAAGCCTAGCTTTGTGAAGGACATTCTCTTTCTCTATTATAGGTTGGTTTTTCCTATTAAATGCATTTTTATTAAAACTGATTTACTATAAAAATAAGTCTGGAAATGCTGAAAGGAGTTTCTCTTTCATCTCAGAGGTGATGGGCAATCACTGGAGGTTTTGAGTAAGGAAGTCACATCATCAGGTCTACGCTTTAGGAAAATCATATGGGCAGTTGTGGCATTTGTATGAAGGAAGGGTTGAAGAAGGGAGAGAATAGCTAATGGGAGGGCAGCTAGGCTGATCAGAAACATCTAACACAGACACACTGTGCCCCCCAACATTCCCAAGTGCCTTAGAACCAGATTAAAATGTAACTGAGAAATATTTAACAAAATACATAAAAATACAATTGAACATTGATAATGTTAATACGTGGTTTTCTAAACCATCTGGGTTATAGAACAGCCAAGCAGCACCATAGTGCATAGAATGCTGGGCCTGAAGTCAGGAAGATTCATCTTCCTGAATTCAGATTTGGCCTCAGACACTTCCTCACTATGTGACCTGGGCAAGTCACTTAACCCTGTTTTCCTCAGTTTCCTCGTTTATAAAATGAGCTGGAGAAGGAAATGGAAAACGTCTCCAGTATGTTTGCCAAGAAAACTCCAAATGGAGTCACAGAGAGTCTGACACGACTGAAATGACTGAGCAACAACGGCAAAGCCAATGTGTGTCCCAGAAATCTGATTTAGTGACTCCCATTTCTACTGAGTCAGACATCACTGGTCTAGATGACAGATGAGAAGGTGAATCATAGTGAGCCGACAGCTTCCTCAAGTCCCCAGACTTCTTTCATTCATCCCATTTCTCACATGGCCATTGAACCATCCATCTCCCTTCTTTTACTTATGAAGTAGACTTGTATGAACCCAAGGGAAAGACTTTACATTTATCTCTATTGGTTTAATTTTTGTTATATTTGACCAGTTTATTGAACCAAATCCTATACTTGGGTTCAAAAAAAATCTATGGCATAAGGACAGGATGGGGGAGCAGGTGCCTACAAAGGAGTTAATATGAGAAACTATCAAAGGTTTTCATAGACAGGATGTGATGAGGCAGACACTAAATCTAATGGTCCACAGGCTGCACTTTAGAGTCATTTCCAGAAAAAGGAGGTGACGGTCCCTGTTGTCAGGCTGAACCCTGTCCAGGGTACTGAGTCCAGTTCAGGCGTTACATTTTAGTAAGGACGTTGACACTCTGAAGCATTTCCAGAGCAGGAAGCCACTGGAAGCCATGGATAAAGAATCAGGAGCAGATAGTTAACTCAGAGCAAGGAGGCTTGTGATTTGGAAGAAGCTGACCTCTTTGGAATGGCCCCAAAGAACAACAGATAGAAGACATAAGGATGTATATTTTGACTCAATTTCAACAACAACAACAACAACAACAAAAAAAAACTCCAGCTGGTTATAGTGAATAGGACGCAGCACTGGGAGTCCAAAAGACTTGAGTTCAAATTCTGCCTCAAATGCTTACTGGTTTTATTTACTTTGGGTAGATTATTTAATCTCACTCAGCCTCAGTTTCTTCATCTGTAAAATGGGGATAATAATAGCACCTATCTCATAGAGCAGTTGTGAGTGTCAAAAGTGAAAATACGTAAAATACATTGCAAGCTTTAAAGTGATATACATATATACACATATATTATTATTATTATTATTATTATCAATGTTGGTAATCAGTATTGCTGTCCCCAAAGGGAATAGGCTGCTTCAGGAGGTAGAAATCCATCATTAAATGATTAAATGTCTTCAGGTTCTTCACAGATAACAACATTTGACTCAGGCATTCAACAAGCTTTTCTTACATGTCTTTCACTTGTGAGGCCCTATGTTAAGTTCTAGGGAAAGAAGGAAGGAAGAAGGAAAAGAGGGAAGGCGGGAGGGAAGGAGAGAGAAGTAAGGAAGGAGGGAAGGAGGGAGGGAAGGAAGGAATGAGAGAGAGAAGGAGGGAAGAATGGAAAAAGGAAAGGAAGAAAGGAAGGAAAGAAGGAAGGAAAGAAGCACTTACTAGGCATCCCCTACATGCTAAGCACTGTGCT